CATATTGCCAAAATCAAGTTTGGCTCTATAAATAAAGGGGTTTTTTGTACTTGTTTTGTAAAGGGAAATATCCTTTAACTTTTACTTCTGTGTATTAAGAAAGAGGGCTACATGTAAATAAACCTGAAATATAGATGCAAACTTTACACATTTTACAGTAATTATTTTCCCTAGGAAAAATAGTGTAGAATTAATTTATTCAAAGTACTAGATGAAAGTAATTAAACTTGTTCATGCTTCACTTAACATTTATTTTACTAGAAATGTGACTGCTATTTGGCTCAATACAAATTTCCATCTCTACAAAAAGACACGTCCCAAACTACTGCTACAAGTACAATTTTGTCCTGATTTCACCCAGAAAATATATTTGTTCTCACTGCATACATATCACTCAATAACATTAGAAAGGCACAGTGAGTCCTAAGGAATTTTTTTTTCTCATGTCCCAGGAGCATGTATAACACCACAAAAACAGCAGTAGATGGCTAATGTGGTTTCCAAGGGAAGATTTATTCCTCTACTTGTTGAAACAGTACTTATTAACACAACTAATGTAGACCACCAGAAAATCTCACTGGACTTTCCTGAGCTCACAGAATTTTGTCCTGTGTTTTTTAATTCTCTTCAACTAAAGATGATGTAGATGTCTCCTTTTCATTAATGCTAGATTTTTTAAAGTACTTTTCTTGCTGAAAACATTACTTTTTATCACTTTGAATTCTAGTTATAACATTTTGCTTTGCAGTTGTACAAAATATTTTATATTGAATTTCCAAGCTTTTAAATTACTGCATATCATTTTTTCTGCCTATGTTAAGTCATTACATCAGAAACAGCAGCATAAAAAGCAAAGGTTTCAAAAAGCTTTAGCTAAAAGCAAGGCTTTTATTCTAGTATATGTTTTGCCAATGACCAGGCCCAACAAAAATGATAGCACCAGCAAAAAGATGAACCAATACACAGACTGTATTGTACACAAGAAGGACATTCCATGAATGATCGCTGGGGGTACAAACAGATCAATCAGCTGGTACATAATCGATGCCACCCCCAGCGATCCCACAAAAGATGTGACTCTGCCCACAACAGGTGGTACAGAGACCCAAGGTTGCCCACACTTGGCATGGGAAACAGCCAAACCAGCAGGCTGAATACATAAGAGAAAGGTGCCCACATGGTGACTCTCACCCGATCGACCTGTGTTCACAAATGTCTTAAGCAGACTGGAGCCCAGCTCCAGGGAGAGTCAGGAGGTCTGCCCTGAACCAGGAAGCTCTGGGGAGTGCACTCCACAGAGAGACACTCCTGACTCCCTGCCAGTGGTCCCAGCTTTTATCCCCCAGCAGACACCTGACCTTTGTCAACTCAGTGCAGGACCCCTGGGGCTCATTTCCCTTCTGGCTCTCCCTGCAGGGCCGGCCGCACCCTGGGGGGAAGCTATAAGGTAAACTCACCCCCTCTTTATGAAGGGCTGTGGGAATCACCCATATGTCAACCTTAATTCAAGGCTTGGGGTTCAGACCCCAGCATTTCAGTATATAACTAAATATTCTAGTACATTCTAGTATATAACTAAAGAACAATTGAAAAAAATAAAAGGTAGGTATAACTCTTCTTGGAAGAAGCAGTGGCTTAGGCCATTTGACAGTTACATGGTTTTGCCTTCACTATCTTCAAAAGTAATGAACAAAACTATCATTAAAAAACAAACAAGCAAAACCCAAACCACCCAAGCTCCCAATAAAATACCTCTGAGAACACAAGAAATAAAGGAAGGCAGAAAGGAGCGATCTACATTTTAAATCTCTGTTACATTCTCATGAAAAAAGGAAAATGGCAATAGCTATTAATTTCTTGCCTCAACAGTGATCCTGAGAATTAAACCACAGAGTGGGTTTTGTCACAAGGAGCATCTACTTTCTCTCTCAAAGTGGGTGTTTACTTCCCAGAGCCAGGAAAACAGTGAAATGGCCAACTATAGGAATCAGCAGGATTATAAAACTCTAACACACCTCTTGCTTCATTCAGCGGTTAGGAATGGGTTGTAAAGCTTAATAGTATTTAAAGCTAGTTTTTTGTCCCTCTCTTGCAGGAGAAAGGAGATAAAGGCCAGGCTGTCCTGGCAACAATTGCAGTGTTTAGGAAATTGTTAGAAAGCATGGTCATAACTAACGAACAAATTCTGCAGGTAATTCAAGAGAAACTTAGACCAAAGAAAAAGTACAAGAGCATTTATTGCTCATATCTTTGGACACAAACTGGAACAGGTGAAATTGCTCTCCATCTGCTGGCTTCCCTAAAGATTTTGCAACGTGACAGCTGCTCTGTAATAGGGTGAGATGTTGACAAGAAGATGAAAATACAATTGGTCATGTTCTTTACAAATAGAAGAACTGGAAGGCTGGAAAGCCTTTTCTTATTTCAGCCTGATAAAAGCAGTCTTCCTCATCTTATTCAAAGTTTTAAGCAAACAATACTGAGTATAAGAAGGTTCTGAATGACAGAGCTTGAAAAACTAAGACTGACAGACTGACTTCTACTGCTCTCATCTCTTCTAGCAGCCCAGAAAGCAGAAGCTGTTTGCAGTGGTATCATCACGACTGCTAGATACTGTGAAATCTTAACTAGTTTAAATGAGAAACTAAAGAAAAGCTGCTACTGCAGTTACACCCCTGCCCTGGTTCCAGGAAGTTTCTAATTTCAAAAAGAAAGTTCTTAAAATGATGAAAAGGTAAGGTAAATACAGCCAAGAGTAAAAATAAAGGTCTCACATTTCCTGGCAGATTTCAGTGACAGGAACTCAATTGTAGCTGACAATATTTATCCCCTCCAGAGAGGAGAGAAGGCTAATTTAGTACTTTGGAAGTTCACAATCTGTTCCACACATACCTTAGTAAGGAAAGTCAGTTGCTGCAATACTGTATGCACAGTTTGTATGATCAATTTACCTGGATACATATATAAACAGACAGTAAATTCATCTGGATAAACTGGGTAATAAAGACAGAAATCCACTGTGATTGCTATATGAAGTTCCTTCAGTGTTTCCAGTGGAAGCATAGTGTATGTTGACATCACAATCATAAAAATTTCCCTAGGAAACTGAATAAGAGACAGAGTGATGGTGCACATTTCTGCTTTTCTTAGCGTATTGTTTACCAGAGAGATCTGCAAACATTAGCAATTTACAAGTACTTGAGAGAATAAAAAAAAAAAAAGCTACTATTAGCTCTCCAAGAACTGAAGTAACATCTTCATAGTTACAGGCCTTTCACAGATCATTCAACAAAATTTCTGTAGTTGAAAACCAGGTTTGATTTGGACAAAGCATGTCTGGAATGAAGTGGCTGAAAATGGAGAGACATAATATTTTTATACATTATAAGGCAAAAAAGCTATGATCATTTATACTTAAAATAAGTACCATGTTAAAATCCCATAACCCTTTGTAGATTCCTAGCAGAGATTCGTGGTCATTTTTTAGCTGTTTTTAACTGAAAACCATTTGTCTGGAGTTGGTCTTTCCAGTTTCATCTTCAACAAACAACAGAGGACACTCATGTTTGGAAGCTCAAAAAGTGTTTCTATGTTGTGATGTGTGCAAGTTCAAAAACACAAGTGGTAAACCGCAATACTGTGGCTTAAAATTAACTTTGCGCTCTTTATGCTCAAATGGTTCTGTACTGAAAAAGTCTGTAAGTTCTTCCTAAAAACCTGATGTCTTTCACTTCCTTTTCAACTCTTTCTAGTCTATTTATCCCTTCCATTCCCCAGAATTTTCTCTGTTCTTATGATCTGCAGGTACAGTTAATGTTTCTCACACATCAACAGCAAGAATTGTGAAGAATCTTTATCTGCCTGTTGCATTTCTTATGCTTATGGTGACCAGGAACAGAAAGCGTGTCAGAGCTGCCAGCAGAGACACTCTTAAGAACAGGAATAACACAAATCACCCACAGCAAAGATCATTCTGCTAGACCAAAGTACAAACTAACAGGATTTTTAAGAAAGGAAACAGTATCTGAGTCAGGATAACACATTCCTCTTTTTACAAAGGATATTTCACAACATATTCCTAAATTTTGGCATCAGAATAGAAAGCTATCAGAAATATCAAACATATTTATAATTTGTAGGAATGTACTCAGCATTGACTGACATTCAGAAAGTCACAATCCAGTAAAAATGGTGCAGTGTAGAATGTCTGAAATTATTTGAGGACATCCTTCCATTTGCCTGTTTCAAAGTTCATAATACAAAGGGTGTCACTGGACAGAATTTTTGTGAATATACACTTTAGAACACATATATTCCATGGACTGCTTGCTGCAGGCCTGTTGAGAGACAGATGGCTAAATCTATTGTCCTGGTTTCCATTTGATGGCATATTTTAAAAGACAGAAGTACATGACATTAATGTAGTATACTAATATTACTTCCTAAAAAAAAATTGACTAATATGAAGTTCAAAATTTGCAGGCATGAAAATATACTGATAGGAGGGTGCTTCATCAGTAACTGTAAGTGGAAAAGAAAAAGAACAATGAGAATTAAGAAGAAAACTGATACCACACGAAAACCTCATCACTATGGGGTAATGCATGTTAGGAAGTTATCCGAGAACTGGCTTACAGCCTTGTAGGAACACAAGAAATCAAACAACTAAAGCAAAAGGAAATGATAGCTCAGAACTTTCTTTGCTCTTATTTTACATGATCAACTTTAGACTGTGACGTTTCAACTAAAAAAATTTCAGTTTGCTAAGAAATTTTGTAACTGTTGATACTTTTTGAGTAACCCATAGAGAATAACTTTTTCCACTTACCTTCTTATAGACAGAATAGCAGGATTACATTTTACTTTTCTGATGAATAAGGGCCAAAAGCATCCCAGCTAAATAAAATCCTTGCAGCACTGCACAATCATCAATATTCATCTACCTGCTATTTCAAGTAAGCTCACAAAATGGTTAGTTAAAAAATGTAAAACCAAATCACCTGCAGAGCAATCGTGGTATTCTTCGCAGGATATTTCCCCACCAGTCCTTGTTCTTTGCGTTTCTTGAATTTCCTAAAGTAGTCCTGTATCAGGAAGGTGGCATAGAACTTCCCCACGGTTACCTCATCATCTAAATGAACAGACCAGACAGATCTCTCCCAAGTCAGCACATTTATCAATACCTGCACACTCATACCTCATTTAGGGGGAAAGATGCGATGGGTGCAATAAGTACTACTCCTTTCAGCTTACAACGATGGAACCTGTAGCTAGCTTAAAAGCAATGTTTTAGCAAGCAGTTGAGGTTCAGTCAGTTAACTGAACCCATCTTTAATAAAGAAGAAAATACTTTACTATGTTTCATGTACTCCTAAGGAAGTTTGTGTAAGTTTCTAACAAAACCATAAACATGTTTGTATATACATAGAAACTGAAAGATTGGATTTAGGTACTTGGCACATACAGATTAAAATAAAAGTTACTGTTATTTACATAGATTTATGTTCATAAGAGTGATTCGATTTAAAAAAAAAAAAAAAAAAGAAAAAGTCTTGCTTACACCACTGATCTGTTTTTCCACTGCTGGGCCAATTTTGCTTAGGCAGTGTATGGTATTGCTCTGATTGCATAAGTACTTGGGCACCATTCCAGCCTGCTTTGCTATGCACGTTTTTTTATTGGTGTCATGCCTGCACTGTAACACCTGAGCAACTTCCAGTTGGAATTTTGTGTCCTGGATGTTCACATCGGGCTGTAACTTCTGCTATCTTATTGTCACTCAATAAGACAGATTCTAGACTTTGAGGAAATCCCACAGAAGTTACAATTTCATGTATTTTTATGAGGTTCCTGTTTAAATAAAAATGTTGTTCAAGATATGTAACAATCATAGTAAATACAAAACAACATGATGCTTTCCCGTGCTGTTGTATTTTATCAGCTCTACAATGCTGATAGAAGGAAAATAATTTCCATCAGTAAATTCAGTACAATTCAAAAGATAGGCAAACAGCAGGTGCAGTAAAGCCTAGAATTTAACAGAGTCACTGTTGTGAACAAAATCTAAACTTCAAAGTCTTTGAAGTTCAAAGGCCGGTACCTCACAGGGTATTGAAATCACCTGGTTCACAGAATGTTAAGAAAGTGTCTGTTTTGTGAGTTCCGTTGCACCATTCAGCTATGCAAGTCTGACCGCTTGCCAGAAAACTAGGAGTAGTTTTCTATTTAAAAACATTGCTTTTGTTTTCATGCTCTTTTTTTTTTCCCCTCTAGAGTTATCCACCATGAAGTTAGACGTTTCTCTTTCTGCTGTGTTGCCTTATCTCTTGGGTTTTTTCAGTATCTTGAGATAGCTGTTTGTAATGTGGTTTCTGGTTGGCTACTGTTACACATAGAGGACGGCTGGTGTGGTTTAGGCATCAAAGTTCTCCCTGCTGTTAGGGCTCAGATCCTGATGGGCACTTAGTTCAATTCCCTTTCCAGCTGCCCTTACTGGGATAGACAGGTGCTTCACACATCTCAGGATCTGGGTTAATCTGTACAGTTGTAATCTGACTAAATATAGATAATCTATCATGCCCAGACATTTTAACACATCTTTGTCAGAAAGTATGGATTTTTTTTGTTTTATGTCACTTGTTTTCTCCATATTTTAACTCTTTAATAGAGCCTTAGGATAGAGTTGAGTTTGGTTTTTAGTTTTGCCGATTTTTTTTTTAAATACATTCTGTTAAGCAAGCTTTGTCTCTGATTGTCAAGCAAATTCTCTAATGAACTGTCATATACTGTAGCTCCATACATTAACATTTGATTAAAAGTTTCCTTGTGTCTGTTTTATCAATAATCATGTCCCAAAGTATATTTCACTAATTATAGTATTTCTACTAGTATTTTTACCTGCAATATGACAGCTTTTGCTAATTTAAATTTAATCTCCATCTTTTTGTTACTTGCTTTCACATCAAGAAAAAGGATGGGGAAAACCAATCCATGTACAATACTGTTTGAACTCATTTTTATCTTTGTGAACAAAATTTGTCTCAAAATGAATCCTCTACCATTCAAAATAAGCTCCTTTCATTATAACGTCTGAAATGAGCTGTATGCCTGTGAGAAAGCACGAAAGGCTTTAACTTCAGTAGAAATGCACCAGGGATGTATTCTCCCAGCATTGCACTTGCCTTTAAATGTATCAAAGCAAAAATAATAATAGTAAAAGCTTTAAAATATCTTGGTTGGGAGATCAGTCTGTTGCAGAAAATACCTTAGCACATTAAAAAGCCTGCTCTGACAAATACATCTCTTCAAAGGTTCGAGTCTCAGCGGTTTGTGCTAGGAAATAGCAGGAACTCCATGGTTCACAAGAAAAGCTCATCAGTCTACAGATCCAATCTGAGCAGTAAAAAGCTTTTTAATTGACTCCACAAATATAATTTCTAAACTTTTTGTGAACAGTTGCTTTCATGTTCATCTGTAATCTTCCTTGGCAGCTCCTCAAGAGACTAATGGTGTTTTGTATTAGGAAGAGATCTCTTATAAAACATCTAATCTAAACTTGCCAGCCTCAGTTTAGCTGAATCCATTGATCTGCAACATAGCAGTTTGGTCAGACTCCCCAGATAACCTTTCCCCATCCTTTATAGTATCTTGTTTCAAGTATTTGAATAGAATACAGATAATAATAGAATAAGGAAGTGATAGAGCAAATGGCTCCCAGAAAGAACAAGCACACAGAAGTGACAGACTTGATATAACATATACTACTATGGGTTGCATTTAAAGCATTGTCTCAAGTCAGCCTATGACATTGCACAACTACTGACTGTACCTGCACAGTCTCAGTAGGCAGAAATGAAGGGTCCTTATTGATCACTCAGTTTCTGTAAGCATCCCAGAGGAATGCACTCCCAGCTGGCTGAGTTACGCACCCCCAGTCCGTATGCACCCTCAAGCAGTGTGGTGCTGCACAGGCACAGTCAGTTCTACTGCAGACACACGCACACCAGAACTGAAGCCTGGCCAAGAGGAGCCATCCTTGGCTTTGCTTTTTAACACACATATAGCCAGATATGGACAGGTATAGGGAGGCAGCTAAGCGTAACTGACCACAGAACAGACAAATCTATGACAATTAGTGATAGCAAAAGGGATCGTTTCAGTAGGAAGTTTTTGGAACTGGGCAAAAAGCGTTAGGCAGGATTAAACGGGCTTGCAGGGGGAGAATGGGGAGTTTAGAGAATACAGGTGAAGCTTCAGCGAGTTGTATGGATTTCTCTTATTCTTTAGTCTCTTAAGAATGTTAACTGCTTCATACATTCAGGCGTTTCACCAACATTCTGGGGTTTTGTAAAGCAGTTTCATTTTTCTGTATTGGAAATGTATTGCTAACTATTAACTTTTTAATTAAGTTATATTAATGAGTTATTTAACCAGTACCAGTAGTTAACTAATGGTTCATTTCTAGTGGTTCTATTTATAATTCAGGGGGGAAAAAAAACCTATTTTTGATGTTTTCATGCTGCTCTGCAAACAATTGTTCTGTTTGTGTTCTGGAGGCATGGGCACGAGCACACAAAGGGTCTCGCATTTAGTAGCGCCAGCAAAAGTAATACCGGAGGAAAACACTATAAACTAGATCACTCAATATGATTAAGTGCAAGTGATTTTATCATTGAATTTGGATACTTTGTTAATTTATACTGAAAAGAATTTTCTGCCTCCTAGTAGATTATCAGCTGTCACTGGTGTTATTGTCACATACAATTTTCTATTGAATATTAAACATGAATAGAAACGAATTTCTACTCTACACTAAGCTATTTTACACTCCTTTGGTGCATGAATGTAAAACAGCCACATTCCTCTTTTTTCTAGATGGGTTACAATATTTTCAGTTTTCAGATAAGTCACAACAAGGTCCACAGAGAAACAAACCAAGATGAAATATAAAAATTCACCAATTTTAGGGACTTCCCAACATGTTTTTGTTTATACTGGGTTGTAGAAGCCATGCTGTTCCCTATTGATTGAGCAGTGGTCCAGGTTTTCAGCCTTCTAGCTACACTGAAGAGCTACATTTGCAGAATATTAGCAATGAATTTTAGTACAGCTGAAAAGAAATATACAGCTTATATTCAGCAATGAAATGAAGCTGAAGTTAACAGTGAGGTACAATGTAAGATTAATTCTAGGAATGTAATCTTTACAGATTCTTTGTCAGATTGTTTTAAGCAGGCACAGCTTGCTATTCTGAAGCACGTGTCTCTATTTCAATTAAAAAATGTAGGGGAATAAAGTTGGCAAGAGGCAACACTAATTCCATGCCACCACCCTAAAACAGAATTGCTTCAGAATATTCGGAAAGACTCATAGTTGAAAGGAACAGAGGCTGCAGAAAAAGCTCAAGCACATAGTTACAACAATAACAAAGCAATTCATCTATGCCATGCAAGCACTTAGGTGTAAGGCTAAAAACAACAGTAGAACACAAAAAGTCGTTTTAAATGTGCAGTATCAGTTCCCCTTTGGATAGTCAAATTTGCTAGATTTTTGCCTTTATCCCCACAATGATCTGGCAGTCCCCACACCGGCAGCAAGTGGGTCCCTCCAGCGACAAAGCTAATGCTGCTTCCTGGGTCATGCTGCAGAGCAGCGCAGCCAGCATGCTCCTCTCCCTGGGGACTGAGGGTGTCACCTTCAGAAAGGGATCAGCCTCCACCACCATCAGGCCTGCGATCTTGAGTCTGCTTCCAAACCTGAGTCTGAGCAGTCTTGAAAGCTGCCGTAACACTACAGAAGTACAATGAACTACAAGAAACACCAGATGATTACAATGGATCTAGGTATTGGATGTCTAGATAAACACATCCTGGGGGTGGGTGACATTGCAACAGATCCTGCACCTTTAAAACTTGAAAAAGCATGTTAAAAAGTCACCTAAAACCTATTCTAGAGAGTATTAATAAAAATTTATATAAGCTGCCGTAACACTACAGAAGTACAATGAACTACAAGAAACACCAGATGATTACAATGGATCTAGGTATTGGATGTCTAGATAAACACATCCTGGGGGTGGGTGACATTGCAACAGATCCTGCACCTTTAAAACTTGAAAAAGCATGTTAAAAAGTCACCTAAAACCTATTCTAGAGAGTATTAATAAAAATTTATATATTGAAAAAGACTAAATATATATATTAGGCATATATATTTATATATTTTTAAAAAGAGAGATATAACAAATACCTGATGTGCCCTTTTACAGCACGTACGAATAATTAATATAAATATACGTGCCTTGTAGTTCTCACAATTGTATTGGGGTAGAATTTAAGCACCACTCTATGTGGGCCATAACCATATCTCAGTTATACTGTCATAAATCCGAACCATTTCCATTATCTGTTGACTATGGAACAGCTCTGGTTTAAACTAGTGTAACTGAGATAATTTAGCCTCTTCTTTTATTAATTTAGAAAAAAAAAAAAGCTAGCAAATATTTTTTTGCATTCTCCCATTATTCAACATATACAAAGATATAAGCTATAATGTCCACTGTCAAGCTTAATTAGTACAAAATGTTATTTTGCTCAACACATTAAAGTCAAACTAGTTTATTGTGATGAACAATTTCAAGACTTGATTTCAAGACTAGATTTAGGTCTAATAAGGTATTTCTTTCAAGCAAGAATATAAGCATAATATTTTCCTCTCTCTCTAATTTAAGGAAGTTGTACTTATCACAACTATATGTATTATCCGATGTAAAAGGATATAATTTGTTTGATATATATTTGTTATTATTGTTTATTGTCCTTTAATGACATTATAATTGTGAAACTCAGTAATTTTAATTCTTTGGTTCCTAGGAATCTAGAAAGACCAAAATGCACAGAGAATAGCATATTGCAAAGTGTATCAGACTGACCGCCAGCTGGAGGGACAACTTGGTCCAGTAATTTCATGCTTGTTTTCTTCCATATTTTCTTTATAACTGCTCTAAGTTCTTCATTTGCTTGCTCTAGATTACCTGTGACAATGAAACAGAAAAATGGAAGATGGCAATTACATTTCAGCCATCTGCAATGAATGATCCTTTGGATACTAACTAGCCATGTATAAAAAGAAAAAAGACAGTGATAAGGACACTTTGCAGCAAGCCCAACATGCAAGAAGTAGCAGAGAACAACACTACAACTAAAGAGAAGAAAGGGTGTAAGACAGTGGGCTCCTGGGGCTTTCAAATCAGCCTGTGGAGTACCGCAAAGATCAACAGCAGTTTACACATCTTGGCTCTACTCTGTCAATGCTTAGTAACTTCCACCTAAACTGTGCAGAAAGTGATAAGCTGCTCTTTGCAAATGGCTTCTTTCTTGATTCAAAGCTGAGTCTTTGTTTAATCATACTAATTACTTGCACAGGCTTGAAAGTTGAGGCAACTGACTACTGAGCATTTTTCATCTAACACAGCACTCACCTAAGCCACCTCAATGCCCGAGGGGGCTTAATCTAATCACTTTGTTATTGGCAGACTGACCAGGTAAAAGCATATAACAATTTCTGAGATTTCCTGGGCTCTGGCCTCACTGACCCTTTCATTTTCTAGCAAATCATTCCTAGCAACAGTGACTACAATCCATGATCCAAAAGCAAACCAAATCCAGTGAGACTAAGGCAGCCTTACTCACATCCAGAAAAATGAGCAAAGAGAATTGTAACTTTTCCTCATTGTACCTTCTGAAAAGCACAGTAAAGTCTTTACAGCTAAGAACCTTACCTTCTGTTTTTATCTTTAAAGCAGTCCTAACCAAAGCAAACAAAGTAGCATTGAACATGACGGTTCCATCACTGTTTAGTGGCATATTCATGGCCACTAACCTCTGTAAATGAGAAAAGGAGAAGAAATTTAATGTCTCTTTGTTTGAAAAAAGCTCCTGTAATTTTAATTTCTGAAAAGGTGATACTGTCTAAGAATAACATCCACTGAGAGGCATATGTCTTCAAAAAAAGTTGAGTCCTCAATCCCAGCTGCACGTAACAACCCCCCAATATTGCTTCTTTCTGCTATCAATCACAGGCATGCTTATAGAAAAACAAAAACTGTTCAGGAGCTTTCATGAGCTATTTATTGAGTTATTTTGCAAACACCAAAGCCCAGTCCTTGGCTGTGACTCTAAGTTACACAATGCAAGTATTAAGGACAGATGGGGCTATTTAAAAGAACACGCTCCAGTTGCTCTCATGTTCCAGGTTTCCCATGGATTCCTCCAGCCTCATACTCTATGAAGAACTACTGCACCATTTGTGTCATGTATAAGCTGATTCATTTCCCAGGTAACTCTTTTCAATGAAGTTGTGCATCTTTTATGTTGTCTACACTGAATTAGTGTGAAATGGGCTTTCCTCTCTGGATGAGTCCATCTCTGCATTAGACTGTTCATCTTTTAGAGCAGTGTTGCTGTAACTCAGTCTGTCAGAACAGTACTTAATCTATCAAATTCTTTTCCTAACATCTGACATGGATTTTATTCTATTCTAGTTTAAAAGTTATCAAAACCAACTGGATAATTTATCTTAACATATAGACACAGGTTTTCTTTAAGTATGTCTTGTGGCATTGCACTTGAACCCAGTGTTTTACATGTCAGTTCACATATTTATAAAACAGATAGAAATCTAAATGACAGCGCTGTTGTAATGATCCTTTAATTGAAAGGCTTGATCTTATTCCTATTGCTATTGCTAAACCCAAAATATACATAGTTCTGAAGTACTCAATTATTCATCTGTGTTGCTTTTCAAGTTTTATATTAAAATGCAATTGAAATGCAATCATTTACATTGCACATTGTGCCTGACAAATTCTATATCATTTTATATTCCCTTTATTTTTCAGTCTTCTCACTCACTGCTACATATTATATTGCACACTGCTATTCATCTCAGCTTCATTTACCACCTTGCAGCCCCCACCTTTCAGGCTCATTTCTGTGTTTCATGTGCAGCAAAATTCTCATAAATGTGACTGTAAAAGTACTGTATCAAAACTTCATTGTCAATTAAACTACCATGCTCTTCCCCCTGGGCCTGAAGAAAAATCAGAAATGTCACTGGATTAAAGCAGCCAACGCAATATGTGACACTGGGTCACCAGAAATGCTGGGATGAGGTAGATCATATACATGACAACAACAGACTTAACGACAGATTCAGACTGGCCCCTTTCATTTTGATGCGGACTGCTCAAATGACTACACTGGAAGAAATTACACTAATTTTGCTGGTTTAAGTTAAGCTTGCAAAAAAGTGGGAAAACTTGAGAGTGAGGGAGACCTTGAGAACAGACAGGATTACTGTGCATATGTGACACACATGAGGCAGAACTGAATGAACTGTGAGACAAACCTAGAACGAAAACAGGGTAAAACCTACCTTGCAGGCAACTCGGTGAGGGCATAATTTGCCAAAACCAAGTGGTGGCTGAATGCGTCTCAGTAATGTAACCACATCAAGATGCTTTATTCTTCCCCTGGAAGCAACAGACACTTCAGTTACCAAACATACCTCTATTCCCAAACAATATACTATGCTCTGCTTTTATTGTTCTTACCACATAAAGTGTATCATAGAAATGACCTGACTTACTTTGCTTCAGGGTCATATTCTGACCATATCCTTTTGAACTCATCCAAATGATGGGGACCCAGAATAGACCAATCACGTGTTAAATAATCGAAGTTATCCATAATGACAGCCACAAATAAGTTTATAATCTAAAAGAGTAATTAATAACAATCTGTCTTAATTATTTTGAAATTAAAAAAAATATTCAATAAACAAAATAATTCTCCAAGGTGGCAGGTTAAGAATTCAAACAAATAAATTGATCTAATAAATGATTTTTGGCAAATATCAAATATTGCAGAAAATACTTGTTAACCATTTAACTAACTGGAAGCCTATCAAGTAGTGATATGAAAAGTGTGTGATTCTGTTTCAAGAGTACTCAGTCACTGACATAGCCTGTAGCATGGTTTTGTTTCTCTTCCTTGATCTGCCAGTTGCTACTACATCAAATTAAGAAATGGATCAAATACATGCATTTGACACATGCAAACAGCTTTTGTATTAATAGGATTCAATGTCATGATAGTATTTTGTTACCACAGCAGATGATACAGAACAGCAGAACATGTATGTTTACATGTAGTTCACAGAATTCTGTTCGACCACTCTCCTTTTGCAAGGAGAACAGTACTGTCAATAGAGCAAATCAACCAGCTTAAACCAGACACCTGCAATGAGGAAAAACATTTTCCAAAACGTGCCACAGTTTGAGCACACTTGTAGAGACAAAAATCCTAACTCTGCTAAGTTTAAATAATACAAATAGCTTTACTGGTAAGTCAAAGGAATTTTAAAATTCTTAAAAATTTATTATTAATATTTAATGATACTATTGAGAAGTGTGTGAAGTAACAGCTGATTAAAAGACTTTTAACTTAGTTTTCAAATGTGCAACCAATCACTCCTGCATATATGTTGTGAAAAGAAGATCTCACACATAAGAATTTAGAAGCATAGAATGGTTTGTGTTGGAAGGGACCAGTAAATGTCACCTTGTCAAACCCTCCTGCTCTTCAACCAGAGTAGGTTGCTCAGAGCCCCAACCAATGTGACCTTGAATGTTTCCAGGGATGGGGCTTCTATTATCTCTCTGGGCAACCTATGCCAGTGTTTCACCACCTTCATCATAAAAATCAGTATAAGATAGAGGATTTAGGATTCCGTATTGAAAAATAAAACCTTGCAAAAATATTTCAGCTCTGAGATTTTCAATCATTCTCTGAACCCGCTGCTCTCTTAGCTCAGGAGAAAGTCAATTTGCCCAAGTTCATTTCCATTAATACGCACAAGCTAAACTCACCAAAAATGCACAAAGCATGTAAAAACTGATAAAATAAATGATGGCAAAATTGCTTCCACATGTGTATTCTTCCCCTGGATTATAATCGGATTCTGGATCACAGCGTTTCCCAGGCAAACATGCCAGCATGATTTCCTGCCAGGCTTCGCCAGTCGCACACCTTTATAAGGTCACAAAGATAAATTAGGTGTTACTTGATCAAAATGGATTAAATATGTACTAATTTGTTAAGGTCTGACTAAATGCTTGGAGCTGTACAAGCACAAATGTGAAGACAGACTGTGAACTTTTCAGAGCAGGAACTAATTAAAAAAAATACCAAGCATGTTTCAGAAATTGCAAGCATAGATCTGACACTGAAGACAGATTGTTATAAGGTAGACTAATGGCACCACAAAGACTTGCATGTAAAAATTTGAACCCAACTGTGATTTACAAGTCAAATACTTATTGCAGTGGAGCTGCTCTGTACAAAAGTGGTGCTGTGCATGAAAACACATAAAAGTTGAAAATATCTGTTTGTAAAATATTAATTGCCTTTTCCTCAGTATGGTTAGAGAAATTCTTGTCTTTAACTTCCACTATTATATTTTTTGCATAGTTAGGCAATGCCTGTGTAAAGACCCATGATTTCAAATATTTAAAAGACAACTACATATTTATGATGATTTTGGCTGTGTTCATTGCCTAGTTCCAAAGGCAAAAGTCTTTACATGCATGAAGTGACTTAGATCTCATTGGGTGATGCCCTTGGTCTCAGATAAGGAACTATCTGCCAGCTCTGCCAACCAGGTCAGTAATAATGCATAGGAGCCTAGTGGAGTTAGAGAATCACAGGGAAGAGAGGCTGTCATCTTTAGAGGCATCCATGTTTCATGTCATTCCCTCTCCTTGCTCCAGGACACTTTGAAGTACTCCTAGCAAATTTTTACCCTTTTCTTCAGCTCTCTAGCAATGGAGATTCCATAATCACCCTCGATCAAGACTGAGCTGCCTTTGCCATTGAGAACGTTTTGCCTACTGCTTATCTAGTATTTTCCTTCTGCAAGTTACACCCTCTACTTCTTGTCATCCCTTCAGAAAATGTAAAGAACAGTTTATTTATCTTCACAATAACCTTTCACTCTTTCAAGCTGCCATGCTATCCATGCTTCTCAAGATTACAATAAGGGCACAGTCTTTTTCACCATTCCCAACACCTACACAGAGATATCAGAGCTGACTAGGTTTGGGCTAAATGTGAAGACAATTACTCCACAAATGAGATGTTTGACAATAGCTTTCATGTGTTCAAGGTCTGTATCACTTGATTAGAACCCTGCTGTGCCAACGAACTCTCAGCATACACCATACAGAGTATGTGCTTGCTACATTAAATTCCTTCACACCTGCAAACACCTTTTGAACAAATTCATGGCACAAGAGCTACAGACACACCTCATAGATCAATGAAATGGGATGCATTAAGTAAGAGTTAAGGTATACTTACCTGAAGAGGAGGAGGACTGCTTGGGGGAAAGTCTGAAAATTGTTGTTTCTGTTTATTTGATTGTTGTCCCTCATGGCCACTTTTCCAAATACCTACAATAAAACGGGATTTTGACTTTTGTCCCAGTGATCTGCACTGTCAGAAGCTGTAGGCCTTGCAGTCTAAACTGGTTTCAGTATATATGAAAAATACTTTCACAAATACACTTTCTTTACTCTTTAGATTTTTCCTGACAATGATGTAAATGCAGTGAATTTATCATCTGTACAAGATAGTTCTTAATCATTTATTTTGGCATCAATAAACCATTATAATACTAATACATATTTTTTTATTTCAGGTGAGAAAATATTTGTTTTAAACTAGGACCTACAGTCATTTATTGATATTAACGTCCTACTGTGCTAAATATCATACATACTAGCAAGAAATAATTGCTGTCCTGCAAACCTCAAATCTAAATAAAGAAAAAAAGATGCCAAGGTGGCATCCAAAGCACAGAGAGCCTGAACATCCTATCTCAGCCAGATATAGAAATTAGTTCAGTTCTTCAAAATTAAATTGCAATTCTTTGTCTGCAAGACCATTCTTTATCCTCAATATAATACATTTATAACCTCTTACAACACAGCAAAAGTAGTTACTCATTGTAGTGAGATGAACGCCATTATGCTCTGTGTACATGCTGCTGGACTGTAAGGACACTAAGTTGCTTTTGAAGAAATGGTGAAGAGAATCAAGAAACAAAACCACTCTCCACAGCGTATTTCCTCTCATCCCATTTAGTTAGGAACTCCTTTAGTGCTGATTTGAACAACCTTACAACTTTGAGAATAAAAGAAAACATCTGTAAAGCTTTATGGATCACAGCCCAAATTCAGAATTCCTAACAGGGGCTTCTGCCAAAATGTTGATGGTCATCCAGCCACAGTCCTTAGGCACTGGATCTCATGTGGGGCATAGAGACTACCGTGTAGTTCAGACCACACTCTCAGCCACAGCCCCCTGGCTCAGTGCCTTCATCTGCTGCTTTCCCCCAGTCCAGGCAGCCCCTCTCAAATGGCTATCCCATCCTCCAACTAAAAAAGTTCCCAGTAGTAGGAATTTTAGGAGCAGTTTCCTGACAGGTCTCTCCTATCTAGCTGTCTCTAGTTATTGAGACTGGAGAGCCTGTTCTACCCTCAGCACTGCTGCTGGTGTGAGGAGTGGCACTTTCAGCCCAACAGCACACTTTTACATTTTCAGTTATCAAAATCCTTTTTGTGCTTGTACATCTTGTACATATATCCTACTCCTAACTGCAGGCTCAGCTGTACCTAAATCTTTGGCTATATTCCTTTCCTAGTTCTGTTCTTTTCATATGGGAAAGAAAAAAAAAAGCCAGGCATTCTTTCATACACTGATGCATAGGAATAAACTTCACAGGACATGGAAGCAGAGCAGCTTCTTTCAGCAAACCACAATATTATAAGCTCACAACAATCTCTTCTCTAGCATGTTTTTGGATTCTCTGACTACCAAAATCACTGCCTCAAAAAAATATTTTTACGCTACTCTGCAAGCTGTGCCTTACATACAGCACCACCCTCAAAGGAATCTTTTAATAAGTACCTTAGCAAACAAGTCTCAGAGTAGCAAAATGCTGCACTTTTATCAAATGCTAAAAAAAATTTCTGTGATTACCTGCATTCCAATGACAGCATAGATGAAGAACAGCATGGCTATCAGAAGAGCAACATAAGGCAGAGCCTAGAAACAGGACAGGTGCGTTGTTTTTTAATAATTTTACATCATAATCTTAATTTCCATTTACAAAAATACTTCCTCTGTACAACACAGGCTTTTCCAAGGTTTTTTCTTCCCATGCAAGTGCTTAAAATGTTATTACCTGTCACTCTTAATATTTTGCCTCATATAAGGAACACAGGCTTCATTATATTTTAAATAATTTCTGCCAGCAATCCAGGGGGAAGAATCATCTTTAGCAGCTTTTGATTTTATTTCCATTACAGATTCTGACAACACAAAGATACTTGCTTCCATACAGTTACAGAGTTCTATTGACTTCACATTCATCAAAGTTTCCAGGAGCATGGATTTAAATATCTACTTGTTACACTTTATTAAATCAGTTTTATATAACAAAAATAGGTTAAATTCCTCTTTTCTAGTCATCTAATAAAATTTGTGGAAGTATGAGACCTGGTGTGTCAAAAATATTCTATCTATCTGGTTTTAGATATACCAAATAATTTTTTAATGAGGTATTATAGAAATCTCATGGTAACAGTTAACATTAAATGACAAAGAATGAACCTTAGACTCACTGAAGTAACTGATGAAGTTTATTTTGGCATTAATATGCAAATATATTTAAATATGTCATTATTGATAGCAAAAACTTAAAAAGAAATTGGTTTTGGTGTATTTGTATTTGGTGTAGAAATGGTTGTAATTATAAAGCAAATTTAAAATAATTTTTCTAACCTGAAATGACTTAATAAATGTCCACAGTAAAGTTCTGATTCCTTCTCCTCTGCTAAGCAGCTTCACCAACCTCATCACCCGGAAGAGACGAAAAAAAGTGATGGAGATTCTAGCGCTGTCTTCGGAGTTCTGAAGAGCATCATGGAGAAGTCAAACCAAATACAAACTCAAACATGCAACACTTCCAGAAAAACAACACCAGATGCAAAGGTGGAAGAGGTAAGATTTGAAAATGCATTTTGAGGGCCTTTTCACCTTCTTAAGCATGATATGAAAGGAAAAAATACATGCTAAAAACACAGGACCTGTAGAAATGCTTCACACATCACATGCATTTCCAAGTTCTCTGGTATGTTAATAAGGACCATATTGGGTTTGTTTGTAGTAGACTTCATAGTACATTGACAATGAATGCAAACCACTGCATAACACCTTTGTAGTAAGACAGTTATGAAAAATACATAAAAAATTGGTGGAAAATAGACATGGTAAAAAGAATAAACTCAAGTAGAGGTAAAACCACTGGGGTCATTTTACTGATCTTACCCCAGACTCATCAGTTGTGACTGTTTCAGTTGGCTTTGGCTTTAAGAAATTAAGAACATTAAATATTAAAATCAAATAAAAGATTTTTAAAAATCAACTTAAACAGAAATAAGGACATTTTTCATTTCCACATGTAAATTAACATCTTTCAACTCAATATACTTCCTGAATAAAACATTAATATCCTTATTAAAACCTTTGCCTTAGCATTTCATGTTGGCTGACTCATGCTAAAAACTGCAAGTACAAAATACGTTTAAAAGACTCAAGGGAATGTAAATATAAAATATCTGCTCCTATGTAAGCCAAACAAAATTAGCCACCAAATTTCATAGGTTGCATGAAATTGTAGCAGTAAGCCTAAGTAAAACTCAAGAACAAAGCTTTGGGGTCAAACTAGCCTTTCAAGGTCCCTTTTCTGTTGTGGTCTTTTTGAAGATTAAATACTCCATCACTAGAATCTAACCATGTTCAAATAATTGTGCTTTATATCACATCACGAGCTTTCTTAAAGTAAAGTAATTCTCCTGAGTTAACTGAGTGGTTCTGAAGAGCTTAACAAGGACAGACTGCACTCTGCCAAAGTGATGGACAAACGTTTTTATCACAGTGACAGTGACCCCATAGAGGTGCAAATAAGAAGGCAGTACTCGTACTCTCTCCCCATCTACAAAGTGCTCATATACCTGATGCAACAATATCAGGCATGGAGAAAGAGCTTCAGGATTGACCCTTTTGGAACAGATTTGTACAACTCTCAGCAACTAGAAAAAGGAGAGAGGCACACACCAACTTCTTGTTCAGAGTCAGACCCTGTCTTATGAAGAAGACACTCACTTCTCTTTTTATAGCATCTCTGTCTGTCCTTGGAGCTTTGTAAGTACTTATATAAAATACACAAAAAATAAGTGGCCAGTGAAAGACAGAAGCCGCATTACAAATTCCCTGCAGATTTCAACAGTTTGAACTAAAATAATAAAAATAGATTAAAGAAAAATAAATAATCACAAGTATCATAAATGCCAAAATATCACAAAACATGGAAACAATCTTGCAAAAGATTTTGTCTACCTACAATCACAAACCTGTACCAGTGCACACAGACCTGTCTTGCTATTGACTTTTTGGTATAGAAAAAGATTCCTTTTTATCTGAAGGAAAAGGGTTTCATTACATCTACAGGTGAAGCCTGAAATTTCATATTCTCTCTGGTGATTAACTCATGCTGTGCTTGATACTGTCTTAATCACTGAGAAAATTACTTAATTAGCTTCATTATTTTGTATCATCAAAAATTAAATGAAGTATTTGACAGATACAGAAGAGATTAAATTACAGTAGGACTAAAGTGTCCGTTTTCTGTTCTTACCTGTGCCATTACATATTGCTATCCTAATACTCTTCCTAGCTTATTTGGGGTCCAGTCCTTCTCCTGTAAAGGTCTGTGGGAAAAGCTCCCAAATACAAAACCCAACATTTTACTTCATATTTTTTAGTGTCATTTTGTGATGATACTGTAATTCAGTGTTTTGTATCTGTGGCTTTCAGACAAAGAAAGTACACAGTATGATTTGGTTAGGAAAAAAAACTCACAAAAGGAAAAGTCAGTATCATTCTCACTTTTTAAAATGCAGCCAGAGATCAGATTGTCAGAACTATGTGAACAGTTCTACTGTAGGTGCTCTGGAACAATGAGTGCAAAAACACTCCAGCTTTTTTTGTTTCTGAAGCGTACTGAATGTATTTGTACATGCACAGGACTGTGTAAAACTCACACTCCTCCCATAACTCACTCATTCCCAGCTTCTTTAGCCTGGACAGTCCTGAATGCCTGTTTCTGACGGCTGATCTGCTGCTGCTGGGAAGTGCTAGGATATCATATGAAAAAGAGCTGAAAACATTCAACTTCTGCACATCAATGCCCAAGTGTTTTGGGTACTGACATTTTAAATTTGGCACATCTAATTTTTTACCTTCTATGGCATTTCCCTCTGATAATACAGCAGCTTGGTTTATATTATTAATACTAATTATAATGAAGCTAACCTAGTGATACACCACAAAGAAAACATTATTCATACTTATTTATAAAGGAAATGCTCATCTAAGAGACAGTTAGTTAACACTTATGTGTGTCCATCCAGCATGAAACAATGCTAAGATCTGGGAAACTAAGACTAAGATAACACAACCTTCAGTAACAGCAGACAGACTGACAGTAACAGAGAATGTCTGCTTCCTACAGATAAGGAAAAAACGTGTACTACCCAAATACATGCTCTTCTTTGCAGCTTTGGTTGTATTACTTGACATGTGCACACGTAAGTTAGTGGCACATTATGTATATGTAGGGAA